ACACGCTTGTCTGACCATCCTGCCTAACACAGACAGACAGACTAGACAGACACACACACACACACACACACACACACACACACACACACACACACACACACAGACAGACAGACAGACACACACATACACACACACGCGCGCGCGCGCCCAGACCTGTGTGTGTGTTTAGGACCAACACTTGCGGTGGACAATAGACGGCCCGACTTCGTCATACTCGGCCTTGGTGATCCACGTCTGCTGGAAGGTGGAGAGGGAGGCGAGGATGGAGCCGCCGAGCCATGCAGCCTGCTTGCGCTTGGGAGGAGCAATGATCTTGATATTCATGGTGGATGGCGCAAGGGCGGTGATCTCTTTGTGCATGCGTTCGACAAAGCCCGGCATCATGGTGGTGCCGCCAGCAAGCACAATTTCGGGATTGGCGAACGGTTCCTCAGGGATGTTATCGTTGCACCGCGAAATCGAGTTGTAGGTGAGTTCGTGAATGCCAGCCATCTCTAGACCGAGGATGTGAGGTTGGAAGAGCGGCTCTGCACAGCGAAAGCGCTCGTGGCAGACGCTCAGAACCTGGCCATCGGGAAGCTCATACCAATCTTCAACGTCAGCACAATTAGCTGACATCTCCTGTTCGTAATCGAGGGCGACGTAGGAGAGCTTCTCCTTGGCACCACGGGCAATGTCACGCTCAGCCGTCGACCTGAAGGTGTACGCGTGCCCATCCAGCAGCTTGATCATGTAGTCGGTGAGATCGCGGCCGGCAAGGTCGAGGCGCTGAATGGTGTGCCGAAGGAAGCAATCTTCGTACACAGGCACAATCTGCGTCACGCCATCACCACAGTCCACAACCACGCCAGTGGTGCGTCCGGAAGCGAACAGCGACAATACTGGAGCTGTGGCAACGTACACGCCAGGTGTCTTGAACGTCTCAAACATGATCTGGGCCATCTTCTCGCGGTTGGCTCGGGGGTTGAGGCAAGCTTCCGTGAGGAGGACAGAATGGTTCTCAGGATCCACCTTGAGCTCGTCGCAGAAGGTGTGGTGCCAGATCTTCTCCATGTCGTCCCAGTTGGTCACGATGCCGTGCTCAATGGGGTATTCAAGTGCAAGTATGCCACGCTTGCTCTGGGCGTTCGGTCCAATAAAGGCGGAGTGGTGTGCATGGTGGCGTGGACGGCCAACGATGGAAGGAAAGACGGCGTGGGGTGCGTCAGCATCGGCAAAGCCACTCTTGATAACGCCGGAGCCATTGTCGATCACCACTCCCGGGATGTTCTCTTCAGTCATTGTGCTGGTGGCTTCTTGTCTTCTTGTCGTAGTCTTGTCTTCTTGTCGGCTGCTCTAATCTTCCAATGATGCTCGGTCGCTGGGTCAGCGATGTAATAAATGACCACGTATCCATGGTTGCGGCAACATAAAGAGCACAGGATGTGTGTCAGGATGTGTCTGCATCTGTGTCAGTGAATATTGTTGTGTCAGAGTCATGACAGGACGGATGGAAGTCTGACTGTTCCAGTGTCCGTGAGTTGTGTGTGTCACGGGTGACAGAGAGAGACTGATGAGACTGTGCACGCGACTTGTGCTTGCTTGTCATCTCGCGGTTTGCCAATTGCACACAGCTGATTTGATAACACTGCAATTTGCACAGTTTGATGACGCGACTTTCTCTTGGTCGACAACTGCCTGAGCCTGAGCAAGACAACCACCGCGGAACAAGAATCACAGACAGAGCCAGACACGATGCCGTTCTCACAGAAGGGGGAGGAAGGTCGCTATGTGACCGAGCTGGAGGCTGCAAAGGCAGTGCGGTCCGGCAACGTGTACTTTGGCAACCGCATTTGCCCCTTTGCGCACATGGCTTGGTGGACATCCAAGGAGGTGTGTGTGTGTGTGTGCGTGTGGTAGGATGTGTGTGGTTGTTTGTGGAGTGTGTATTTCTGTTTGTTTGTGGTGGAGTGCGATGCAGAGCCAGTGTGTTTGATGTGTGTGTGTGTGTGTGTGTGTGTGTGTGTGTGGCACCTTGTGCCATGCTCTTGCTCGCCGCCTCCGTCGTTCGCTCGTTAGCTTCTACACTATTGTGTTGGCTCTGTGGACCATCTTTCCCTTACCTTACATACTACTCTTTCCTCTTCC